ATGCTGGGATTAACGGCACATGCCACTGTGCCCAGCCAAAATTTATAATTTTAATCTGTTGTTCAGCACTCAAATGTTGAACTCTGTCATCGATTGTGTGGGTACATGCCTTAGTGTTAGCACAGATTTCTGAACAAAGTATTTAGTATTTTTCTCTGGGAAAGACAAGTTTTCTTTTCTGAAGAAAATGGAGGCAATGATGCCCTTGTCTCACAGGCCTTTGCAGGAGGAGATGTGACGAGGACTGGATGTTGAGCGTCCTGCCTCTTTCGGCAGTGACTTCAGTTCTTAGTGGACTGTTGTCTGTAGACTGACTTAGGACAGGCAGCCTAATGCTGATCCCAAGCTGGACCATACTTAAAAATTCCTACTTTCCATGTCCCCAAAGCTCTGGCACAGACCCCTCATTCCTGACCTCAAACAGTGGGGAAAGGAACATGCCTCTTTACTAAGAGAGTGACATGAATGAAGAATGAATTTTGTTGAGACATGGTGCCAACATCCTCCTCCTCTCCCTCCTCCTCCCTAATTTACTATTGTCTTACCCCAATTTCTACTGCTCTATGATAATTTCCTCTGTCCTCCTTTCACTTTTCAATCATTGTCTTTGATTAGATGCCCCCTCCCCCACTGGGTGTGAGAAGGTCAACCAACACTTTATTTTCCACTCCTTTGTGACCGCCTAGCTTCACGAGACCTGCAGCTTCATGCATAACTAGAGCAGATGGCTTCACAGGTCTAGGAAACTTTCAGTTACAACTTTGAATTAGCATCACTCCACTATAATCCCTTTATTGCTTGATTCAACACATTTTTAATTAAGTGTGATGATTATGTAATTATCAAGTTGACAGGATCAGAATCACCTAGGAGACAAACCTCTGAGCATATCTGTGAAGGAGTTTCTAGACTGGGTTCTACTTGAAGCAGGAAGACTCCCCCTAAATGTGGGTGGTACTATCCCACGGGCTGAAGGCTCAAACTGAATGAAAAGGAGAAAGCAAGCCGAGCACCAGTGTTCATCTCTGCTTTCTGACTGCAGTGTTCATCTCTGCTGTGACCAGCTGCCTCTTGCTCCTCCTGCCATGACTTCCAGCCATGATGGACTGTGATCCAAAATAAACTCGCCCTTCCGTAAATTGCCTTTGCCACGTATTTTGTCTTAGCAGCAAGAAAAATAACCAATGTGATGGGTTTACTTCAATCCCTATCACCAAGCTGCAAGTTGTCTTGCAGATTTGATATGCTAGTTATAAAAATGGAATGCCTGTCTTTAAACACAAGTGTGTGTTATGTACTTAGGAATAAGGGATTTTGGCAACCACCCTATCCGCTCTCTGTTCTGACTTCGAAACTTGCTTTTCTCTGATGAGTAGCCGGCTCTGCACTGCATGGCACCTTCTCCCTAGAGCCTAGAGACAGCCGTTTTTCTGCAGGGTGCCTCTCCCGAATAGAATGATTGCTTTTTTTCACCCTAGTTTTTTGCCTTAACATCTGGTTCACTGTACTTCTTGACAAGACTATCCCCTGTGGCAATTTCCAGGTACCTATGATCATTTCTCCCTCTCCCCTCAACCTTCTCTGAAAAGTTTAAGGAGAAGATCCTGGTGGCTATAAGGCTGTGGCTTGTTTGTTGTTGCAGGCGTCCTGAGGGTCTTTAGATCCTTTGTGTCTGACAGGACTAAGAAAGTCCAAGAAATGCCTAGGGGCTCCACCATCAGGAGGTAGGGTAGAGAGACTTTGGAGAACAAAGTCAGAAGGAGAGACACAGCAGGGCACAGGGCAAGTGGTTTGGGGAGTATGTCCCACTATGGTTGTGGTTGAATTGCTCTGATACACTGCAGGATGTGGTAGAGATTGAGCAGGAAGAATGTGCCTTAAAGGAAACCAAAGCTAGAAACTTAGTGATTTACCTAATGACATTATAAAGAAGTAAGAGGGTTAAACCCACATGTGGTGACTGACTCAGCTAAAATACCCCAGAACCTCTGATAATTACCCTGAACTTATTTATTGTATAATATTTTAATGGCATTGTAGGTGTAACCTAGAAACTTTCTTTAAATAGAATAGAATCTGAAATGATTTTCTAGAAATGTCTATAAATGTTTTTAAAATTTGGAGGATGGAGGATCTGTGCATACGAATGCAGGATGGGGTAAAAGGAATTCTTAAACTTATACTTGAAGATCGTGCTTCTGCAAGAACAAATATTGCTCTTTGAATTCTAGAGTTTAAGAAATATTTGTGTCATTTATTTCCCTTAAATGAGCTTAGGGCTACCTCTGGTCCCCTGTTGGGGTGCTGAGGTAGATGCTCAGTCCTGTAGTTCACTACTGTCTTACACCTCTCAACAGCAGGATGAAAGGTTATCACGGTATATACATCAAAATGTTCAGAAAAAGTCTGAGAGATCCCAGCTACCATCTTGAGGAAAGAATGAGCATTGGACAAGGGCTGTGCTAACCTAGTATTTCAGCAAGGCCACCTCATTACATATTTGAAACTGCCCCTGAAAAGTCATCTTACCTTTATAATATGAACAGGAGGAAAATGGTATAAAATGTTTTGGTTGATAAGTACCAGGCAACACAGAGCTTAATGAAGTGTTGTTTCCTATAAGTCTCAGCCTGATAACTTTAGGGGATGCCCCACTCGGCCAAAGAGACTTTGAATTTGTGGGTTACAAAGGCTTCTAAGTGTACGCAAAGCATAGAGGGACCTTCTTGTGGCTTTCCTCCAGAATCAAAGTTTCTCCTGCTACTAGATCATAGATGTTGGCATGTCTACTCTCCTGGGCCTTGCTCTGTGGATCATCTGATACAGCTCCTCCCTCACCCACAGGATGCAGAGCCACTGTGTGTCCAATGATAGGATCATTCCACTCTTCCTGTTCTTTCTCTGTGTGCGTGTGTGTGTTGGCTGTATGCACACATATATATGTGGTATCTTAATTCTCCACCTTAGTTTTTGAGATGGGGTCTGTCATTAAACCTCAAGGTAATCAATTCATTGGATTGACTGACAATCAGCCCCAGGGATTCTTTTAGCTTTGCTTCCCCAGCCCTGAGATTAGAGGAATTCACTGCTAAATCTGGCTTTTATGTGAGTACTGGGGATCTGAACTCAGGTCCTCATGTTTGCATGGCAAATACCTTATTGACTTAACCCTCTCGCCATCTCTTGTTCCTGTAGAATTTTCACAGTCCCTGCCTTTGGGCAGCTCTTAATTCCCATTTTACAAGAATCTACAAGACCAGGAAAAAGAAAATCCATTTCAAATATGCATGGGAGGAGGGTACAGTTAATAAAATATTATAACTTTTATGTCTAAGAAAACTGAGGGAAGGGAGGTGGGCACCCAATAAAGGGCAGCTAAATTATAATGTTTTTATTTTTATTTTTGACTAGGTTCAGAGACACCCATGTTCCTTTTTTCTTTGATAGATGTTAGTGGAGGTTGTTTTCTTTCTAGTGGATTTTATTTTCTCTGTTCCTTCCATGTCTCAAGTTTAAAAAATAATAATAAAGCCCTAAATTCAACTATGCCAAGTTCATTTGCATAATCCACCCTAGACTACAGCAGAGGTTGTTGAATGTGGACTGATGCTTGGATTCATCTCGTACCAGAGGACAGGACCAGCCCCCACCTGCATCACCATTTAGAATGGTGTAAACTGAAACTCAGGAAAGAGGACACAGGAAAGAGCAGTTTAAGTTACGTAAAAGAGGGAAATAGTGGTTTTAGGGGGTGAATAAAGAGCATGTGGTTTACCCAGGAGGCAGAGGCAGGTGGATGTCCATGAGTTCGATACCAGCCAGGTATACAGAGCGAGTTCCTCGCCAACAGTAATCCATAGTGAGACCCTGTGTCTACATGAATAGATTATGTCATTCACTCACATTAGTATAGCACAAGGAAAATAAACAGGTACTAACCTAGAGATGACAGGAAGTGTTCTAAATGTACTAATAATAGAAGTCAACTAAGCCCATCGCTGATGGAGATTAATACCATGCATCAAAATTGTAGTGATTCAAAATTCAATAGGAATAAAATTAAATAACCAGTGTCTTTCTCATTTTCTGGTAAATGGCATCAATTTGAGCAGAAATATGGTTTTATTTTTCTTTGTATCTTGTCTATAAAACCACAAATATAATTCTGCTGACTTATTTGAGGCCATTAGTGATATGAAAAAGGAACTATGTGATTTAGAAAATGCAGCCCTCAACTGCACACTTTGTCCAACCGTCCAAACTATTTGTTCCAAGCCATTTTCATCATGTTAGTGCTGAACCATCATGTGGGGTGAATGACCATATCTGGATCAAGGTACGGAGTTTCATTATGGTTCTGATGATGTGAAATACCCTGCTCTTTCCTAAGGAGGAGTTTAATAAAATAGGACCAATTAACAATTCTACATCAAGAGAATGTTTGGAGAGAATAAAAGATTAGAGAGAATGAGGGCCTAATGCTCCAGTTCACATGGATCTTGGTGGGAGGAGTAGATGTTACTTGCTATGGTTAGAAAGAGAAACAAAATATTCCTAGGGCTGTAGTGGTCATTATATTATAAGGAAAGCATCACAAATGATCGATCAGCCATGAAATACCTTTTAGTTCTTTGCAGCCTGTAACTACAGCTGCTGTCCCAAATATTACACTGAAAACACACAGCATATTGGGAACTTTTACAGAGAGTCAGTGGGGACAGGGCTTTGAATTTGGTGAAAGGCTGCCTTTTTATGGGTGCAGTTGTGCTTATTCTGAAGTCATTCCTTTGAATCCCAGTCAAACAGCAAGTGATGTGTCTTTTGAGCACATGAGTAGAAGTCCTTCCACCTTGAAAAAAAAAAAGCCATGGTGGGGATTCTGTCCTATTGACCTGGAAGAGGAAATTTGTCCCCACTGAGTAGAGCAGTTCACAGCAAACTTGTAAAAAGAATGACTCCCGGAGATAACAGGGACAGCATGCACGTTAATGAATACTTACATAAATGTCTGCACCATAAAATCCATCCTGGTAAACAACACTGTAAAGGTGCACACACAAAAAGAAACATTCATATTAGTGCAGTTCCCCATGCAGACGCACCAACCCCCGCACGGGCCAGGTTAGTCTGGTCACAAGATCAGAAACACAGGAACCGAGGAGAGTTTCGCACTGATTAAGGAGGTTGGAGACAACAGCAGTCCATCAAATTGGGGAAATTAGGCTGGGGTTCCACGTCGGTCCGGAGTCGGAATATTTTTTGGGGGCACCAAACTGAGCTTCCCAGGCTCAGGAGAGGAGCAGAAATACATGGCTTGGAAAGAGGATTGATAGTATTTTCAGCAGCCTATTTTACACAGACCGGAGCATCTTAAAAAGATGAAAGGTTGTAATCAAACCATAGCTCTCCTCCCCCACCAAACACAAAAAACAACATCTGTTTAAGAATAGGATTGCAAGGGTAGAGACCAGGAACAGAGCATTTTCTAGATGGGGGTAAAATTGAATAGCCTTAAGGAAGCTGGGGTAACCCAGATGAAGCCAGAAATTTCCTTCTGTATTATTTCATACTGTACTGTTGTATTTGGTAGTTTTGTGAGACTGTTTATATGGTCAGTGCAGGAGGAAAACTCTTAATTTTATGTATGTGTGTAAGCATGTACATATATTTATATATGCAAAGGATGTGTATATTCTACACGTGTGTGCAAGTATATTCTGTGTATTTTCATATGGAGAGACGTATAGGAGTGTGCATATGTGTGTCCTCATCTGTACCAAGCCCTTGTGTATATATGACTATGTGGGTTTGTATGTATGTACATGGATTCACATGTATATATGTTGGTACTTATTCGGATAAATTCCCTACAGGCTAAGGCAAAGCTCGACTTTATGACTGGACAAACCTAACTTCACAGCAACTCTGAGTAACCCCCATAGAGTGAACACCCCAGAACAAAGCTACTTTCCAAGGGAATGATTTGGACTTCTCCAAGTCTCTTGGGATCCCTTGAATGGAACAGTGAGGAAAAGAAACTCAAAGTCATGTCATTAGGGAAAACTGACTATATTTCCTAAGTATCCAATGGGTTTACAGAAGACAGTCTGCACACTGGACACCACACAGGATTTTTTGAGAATCACCAGATATCCTGAGCATAAAACCATACATTTCCCAACGTGTGGTTTTCAAAGGACTGTAGTCCTAAATAACCTCCCCTCACATCTTCACATGAAGTTTCCAGATGATTTATGACTCTGGCAAAGGACCACTGAACCCATTGTTGAATCAAACCAGAGCCCTAATAGAAGCACAACTTTGATACCAAAGGATTTGAGCAAGCTTCAGCAGCAGAGTGGACCCACTCTTAGCCAAGCATCTTAAGCCAAGGAAGAGTGTGCCACAACACATGAGTGCACACACATGCACACACACACCACACAGAGCAGTGACACTGGCCTGCTGGAGAACACTGTGGTGTGCTTTTCTCAAAGCTATTTTTGGAGTTGATTGACTACACCCCAAGTACTATTATCCTTAATGTATGGCGGGATTTTCCATACTAAGGAGGTCGGTCAGCATGACTTTCAGTGTTTGTGTTTGGTCCAGGCAGGCTGTGGTTCAGAAGAGCACTTGCCAAGCAGGATTAAACCCTAATCCAAAATGTGGAGGTGCAAAGGGTCCTGAGCTGGGCTGTGAATTCGCTTTTGACATTAGCAGCATAAAAAGGCAGTGTCTGTTGAGGGGGGGGGGGTCAGGAGGCAAGGTCAGCTTCAACCAACAGATCTGATAAAATGCAAGCAAGCAGATACTTAGTTTGGGCCTCAAAACACAGGACTGATGGCTTAGCCACATCAAGATAGCTTTTGTGTCAGGTTTTCATGCTGCCATGCCTTTGTTCATGCTCTCCCTCCATCCCCAGTACTTTTCTCCCAGTGTCTTTATCCAAAAGCAAATCGATTGACCATCTAAGTACCAAGTTACATACAGAAACACGGAAACATTTACATTAAACTGCAGCTTCCCCAGCAAATAGCTCTCTCCCTGTAACAAATGTACTAAGACATCTGGGCTTGATTTACTCTCTGTACAATGGGAAAGGAAATTACCAAGAGGCTGCTTCAAGCTACATATGTGTAAAAATGTGTAGGATTTAGTCAAATAAGGCTTGGGAAGTGATGGCCAGCATGCTCAGCTCTGAAGCAGTAAACATCACGTGAGGCTGAGTTGGTTCCCCCCGTGAATGCCAGCATCTGAGTTTCAGGCCCCCCACCTCTATGGGCTACTTGTTAATTTCTACCTACTATCAAAGTCATCTGTGTCTATGCTTCATTTGGCCATAAAAGTTGCACCCAATTGAGTTTGTATCACTGTCTCTTACATAAGGGCCAGTTGCTTTGTGCTAGAAGAGGATGGTGCTTATATTTTAAAATAGAGGCCCCTTTGATATTTAAGGGTAGTATAAGATGACAGCGTCATTTCTTCTTCAACCCCTGGTTGAGTTTAATATTTGGTCAGAGGGCAATGCCAATGGTGGATACTTACAATCCTGGTATTGGTGAGTCAGAAACAGGCGTACTAGAGATTTAAGGCCATCCTGAGCTATTTAGTATGATCCTCTTTTCCTACTGTTGTTGTCATTAACAATGGATCAGTAGGAGGAACCCTGCAGTGTGAGGTTATTGCCACTGAAGGAATGGAAAGGAGATAAAAGCCCACCGACGGGAGGAAATTCGTGTGGTACTGAACACATAGTCAAATACACATGGCTGGAAAGGTCATCTATCTTAGAGAAAGCCCCAAGACTGTCACATCTCTAGACTAATATAATTTTTTACTATCTGCAAAATATGTATCCTTATATTTACAGACAAATATCCCGGTCACCACTCATCAAAGAAGCTTCTTTTGCATCAGACGGAGACTATTTCAGAGTACCACAACTGGTCACACACAATGTCTGTGAATTGCCCAAGCCTAAGTGGCGCACCTACAATGCAACCTCTACACCTAAGGATCACAGAACATAGAACAAGGGGTAAAGAGGACACGAATGAATATCCTGATTCTCATCAATGAAGCTCCCTCATGCAACAGAGGTCCAGGAACACAAAAGGTCACAAATGGCCAAAGCATAGAGATTAAGAATCTGCAGAATGCTGGTCCTAGACAGGACTCCTATATTAAACTTCACTCACTTAAAGCTCAGGGACCATTGCAGAAGAGAGGGTAGAAAGATTGTAAGAGCCAGGGAGGAGGTGCGTGACCATATGGAGAGTCCTACAAGTTCCTGGGACCTTGGTCATTTGAGCCTATGGCAGTGGTGACAGTGCACACAACACCCATGCAAACTCAAGCAGACAAAAACCCAGCGTAGAACTGGGGAAATGGACAGCAGACCCCAATCTTAGCTGAAGAAATTTTGGTAACTGATTACTGCTGGGTGTGAAAGATCTGATCTTCCAAAATGAGGGACTCTAGATAGGCTGACTAGACCTCAGTAGATGAACTTGCACTGAGGGACATCTGGGGACACTAACTTGATACAATAGGCCTTAACACAAATGACAGAATGTATGAATTCCAGTAGGAGTACTATGGGAGGGTGCCAGTGGGGAAGGGCATGTAAGATGATTGAGATGTTCTGTATGAAATACACACACACACACAAAAACCTTAAAAATAAAAAAACACAAAACAATAATCTGCAACTCATTTCTTTTTGTAACTCACCAAACTGAGAGCATACATCTTTTCAATTGTTGTGGTATATTCAGCAAGGTAGGACATAGACAAATGCTGACCATTTACAGTAATAAAATCATGTAATTTTGGATCTGACTAAAATGTAATTACATTATTTTAAAAAATTAAAAGAAAATCCTGAATTCCACCAGTGCAAAAGACTAGATAGGTGTTAACAAATATTAATACATTTAAAAAATCAGTATGTATTTAAATTTGGGAAGCATTACATTTTCCCAAATGTCTATAGGGCAGATGTAGCCTAATGACCTTTTCTGAGTAATGGAGAGAAAGGTCAAATGTAGGCTTGGGAGGCTCAGTGGACACACAGCATGGAGCAGGGGTGGAACCACGTGGCTTGGTTGAGACTTGGCTTCACAGGGAAAATGGCTGCTGCTTCCTCTAGGACAAGTATGTGCTGGGCTAGTTTCTCCATACCCACTTTATCTATACCAAGGGCTTTCAGAAGCCAAGAAGGAGCACACTTTGACATTTGCCTTTAGGGGGCCTCTGCTCAGAAGGGTAACTTGGTTGCTGTGGTTTGCCCTCCACCATGGGCTGTGGAAAACTCTTCTGTTTTCCCAAATTTATGGGATACAGAATTCATTAGAAGGCCTGGTTAAGCCCCTCATTCTGATAAGCTCAAACAAAGAGATGCTGAGGGCTATCTTTCTGGATTTGAAGGTTTCCTCTGCCCCAGCCAATAGGCTAAGGCAGGAAGGGCAAGTCCCCCCGCACCCCCTTCCCTGCCCCCAATACATCTGATCCTGACTCTAGAATCCCCAGTGAGGGAACACAGCCATAAGCTACAGTGGCAGCTGCATCTTTTGCTGCAGAAGAGGGAGACACCCTGAAAGAATGACTAATGGAAAGAGGCAGGGCCAGCAACAGAGAAGAGGAAGCCCAAGCTGCTGGCATGGAAATCTCAAGGCATGAAGCCAGGAAGGAAAAGCAGCCGGGCAAGGAACAGCTACTAGTACAGGTGGTTAGAGGGTATCTGGCTCTTTGGAGAGCCTGAAGAAGGGTACATTTTATAGCTTTAGGTCCTCAGAAGCCCTGTGAAAGATGCCTGCTTTTAGGGAAAGAAGTCAAGAATTCTAGGTGTTGTCATAAACCACAACAAGGAGGAATTAGTTGTCTTCACTAAGTACATTTTGGAGAGAGATGAGGATGAAAGTGATAACCCTGGGAAGCCAGGAGCTGCTGTGGCTGTCCTCATCTCACTAGCATAGTAAAAAAGCCATTGAAGTGTTGTTTTACCCATTAGTTATTAGTCACAGCAAAAACAGGAC